TTTGTGTGGACGTTAACATGGTTGGGACATGGATGCTCTGTGGGAACGTACGGACCGTGTGTGGCCGTTAACATGGTTGGGACATGGATGCTCTGTGGGAACGGACGGACTGCGTGTGGACGTTAACATGGTTGGGACATGGATGCTCTGTAGGAACGGACGGACTCTGCGTGGACGTTAACCTGGTTGGGACATGGATGTTCTGTGGGAACGGACGGAGTTTGTGCATGGATGTTAACATGGTTGGGACATGGATGCTCTGTGGGAACTGACGGACTTTGTGCAGGGATGCCTGTATGTGCAAGAAACACAGGAGAATGCCAGGGAAAATAAGGCGCGCCCACCTACTATATACTATATACTTTATATATACCATGTAACATATACTATCATTTACTATATACTTTGTACTATATACTATATACCATGCTCTATACTCGTACGATGTTTGATACACGGTATACGATATACTATGTACTATGTACTAGGTACCATTTTCTATATACTATGTACCACATACTATATACTGTATATTATAGCGTATACGACATCGTACTTTACCATACCGTACCGCAACATACCATACCGTGCCATAGCGTACCATAATATACCATAGCCTATCCTGCCATACCATACCACAAAACCATACTATACTATACCGTACGATACTTTTCTAATGCTACTACCAGTACTAGTACGAAGAGTACGAGTAAGACCAAGACTACGACCAAGACGAATGTTACTATTTATACTCATGCGAATTCGAATACCCATGTGAACACAAATAGTCGTACAAAGAGAATATAGTATAGTTTTCTATATACTGTATATTTACACTATATGTTCTACTACATATACTACATGATTCCAGGCTGTACTAGATTATCATCGTCTACTGCACTGTCCTATACTAATGACTAAACTACGCTTATTGAGAGGTTCGACCAAGGGCTCGATGATGGCCCGTCTCTCGGTTCCAGTCTTCGAAGCTCCGCAGTCGAGCCTAAACCCTAAACCCTAAACTTCGAGAGAAATGGTGGAAGCTTCTGAGTTTGGCTTTGAGTCTCCTAGTGTCGATGCGTGGAAGCATCGAGACTCAGGGAACGCAGGAAGTCCGCAACCGAGCCTGGCCGTTGCCTACGGCCGGGAGCCCTATGCATTCAGTGGACCCTGGGTAATTCCTTATTGTAAGTATAGCATGATATACCCCAGAGCCCTATTCCAAATCTTAGGGCCCCTGACTTCGGCTAGTAACTGCTGGCCTTCGTCTGTTGAGGCTGTTTTCGGATCTGATGCCTCCGCGGAGTGTTTTCGTCAGTTAGTGATTTGCCGCATTTACCTGCTTCTGCCAGGCGAGCAGGCTGGCAGAGCAATTGCGGTGAAGTCCAAAGTCACATGATAAGCAAAGCAACAGGAAGGTCTACCAAAAGGTCAAAAAACACAGGGTGCCAGATGCGAGCCAGGAATGACGGTGGAGAGTCCCCTCACAGCAACCTTGTAGAGCCCGAAAAGCACCCTAGAGGGAGCCCCAAGCCCGTAACCTGCAAGCCCATAACGCGTCATCTTTTGAATCGCAGTGCACGAAGTCAGGCGGACCACCGAGCCTGCGCAGACCTCTTTGCGCTCTACATGTACAACCTGTGCCCGGACAAGTCTTGGAATTTAGGGCTTTTGGTGCTATTTTCACACTACTTTGAGTCGGTGTGACCCACAGGAATATTTTTTGGACCACTGTGCGTCCAAGGTATCGGCGGAAGGAGCTGACCAACATGTGGTCCACACTATGCAAGGCCTACGAGCGAGGCCTGCCGCGGGATCTGCGATCAGAGCCGCTGCTGTTGGTTTAGGCATTAGGGTAGGGCATTATTCTGCACTGCGATAGAGCCAACGCAAGGGCACTGCCACAGACCAAGGGCCTTTCTCTAGCACTACGATCGTTGCGCCTGACCCGAACTCGTGTAGCCCAACTTTTGACCAGACTCGCTTGGGTCACCTGGGTTATATGTACAAGGCCGTACTCATAATGTGACACTGCCGACACGTTTGTCGTACCATGCTGCAGTATCGACTATATTATGCCTGCTTGGCCAACCGTCTTAGAGGCAGAAGCAAGAGTAGTTGCAAGCGTTGCAGTGCAAGTATCACTAGTACTGCCAGCATAGCAGCAGAGCAGCAGCAGCAGTCGATAGCAGGAGCCGTAGTGGCGGTAGTAGTAGTAGTAGTAGTAGTAGTAGTAGTAGCAGTAGTGGTAGCAGTAGTGGTAGTGGTACTGGTAGTGGTAGTGGTAGCGATATCGGTAGTGGAAGCAGTGTTGGTAGTAGTCGTAGTAGTAGTAGTAGTAGTAGTAGTAGTAGTAGCAGCAGCAATAGTAGTAGCAGTAGTCGTAGTAGTAGTAGTAGTAGTAGCAGTAGTCGTAGTAGTAGTAGTAGCAGTAGTAGTAGTA